AGTTGAGGCATTATTGTGCTTGTCTGTGTCAGGCAGCTTGAGTTCTAGATCTTTAAGTGGACTCTGGGCGTGTTATTTAATCTTTCCAGGCAGGACAGTTATTTAGTTGTTTGAGAATCAGACAGCAACTTATTGGCTCCCAATTCCACATGATAAACTGTATTGTATTAAATTTTTTGCTTATATCTTTGCTCATCTCTCTATTTTTTGAAAGCTTCTAGGAATAAAGAAAAAGCAATATAAAATAGGATAAGGACACAAACAGTTCAGAAAAAGATATATAAAAAGGCTGTGAACAAAAGATGCTTAAGTTCATTTATATTAAAATGTGTGTTAGTTGCTCAGTCGGGTCCAACTCTGCGACCCCATGGACTATAGCTGGCCAGATTCCTCTGTCTGTGGAATTCTCCAGGCAAGAATATTGGAGTGGGTTATCATTCCCTTCTCCAGAGGATCTTCCCGACCCAGGGATCGAGCCTGGGTCTCCTGAATTGCAGGCAGATTCTTTACTATCTGAGCCACCAGGGAAGCCTCTTAAATTATATGTTATATTAAAATAACATGACTTAAAACTATACTGAGATACTATTTCTCACCTATGACTAACAAAAATACAAAAGATTGATAACCTACTTTTGTTGCTGAGACTGATAGTTTCATACCTTGTTAGTGAAACTGAAAAATGGTACAACCTATAAATTATCGATGCATTTACCCGTTGGTCTAGCAATTGTTTTCCTTGAAATCCCCCTTCAGGTACTCTTGCCCAGTGGCCCCCAACCTTTTTGGCACCAGGGACCGATTTTGTGGAAGATAATTTTTCCATGGCCCAGGGGTGGGAGCACGGTTTCCTGATGATTCAAGTGCAATACATTTATTGTCCACTTTATTTTTAATGTGCTGCTACTGATCTAACAGGAGGTACCGGTTCATGGCCTAGAGGTTGGGGAACCCTTTTCTTGCCCATGTAGAAAGGGGACATACATTCAGTATTTAGGATGACATTTTTATAGTAATAAAAATGTAGAAGTAACTCAAGTGATCAGCAATATGGGACAGGTTAAATAAGCTATGGTACATCCATGGGAAGGGGTGTTATGAAATTGTATTTTGCAGAGGGTGCTCACCATGGAGAGATCTCTGGGATATATTGCCACATGACAGAAAGCAAGATGCAGAACAGTGTGTACATTCCTTTTATATTTGTATAAAGAAACATGAAGGTGATATACCTGAAGGGGAGGGGGTGAAAAGGTAGATGGGACCTGGGTACGGATGGGATTACTCAGGGTGTATCTTTTCCCATAGTTCAGATTCTCAAGCCATGTAAATGTATTGTGTATTCAAATATAGTAATTAAAAAAAAAACCCAAACCTTCTAACTTTAGCTTCACAAGGAAAATAGTCTCAGTTCCTTGATTGAATAAATCTGAGTCTAATAAAAACCTCTGAAGCAGTAGTCACTTCCGTTAACTCTTCTTCAAACAACCTACCTTGTCAAGAGGCTATGTTTGATGCTAGATTGAAAAAAAATTAAAAATTAATTTAGGAGTTCCCCTTCTTTATACTCTAATCCCTTTGGGGAGGACTGGTGTCATTATTAAGACTTTGCTGCCTATAGCAGATGGGTTTTGTTACTATTTTTTTTTTAATAGCAAGCCTGATGTAGGTTTTTTAGAGACCTATTTAATCTGAAGTCAAGGTAGTAAACTCCCTTCCCAGTTGCCCCAGGAAAGAATGCAAACCATAAAAATGAAGATCCTGACACCCCTGGAGAACTGAGGCAGGTTCTGCTGCTGCTCTTCTCTTGGGGCAAAGCAGGATGAAATTCCCCAACTGACTGAAAGTCAGTGTTAGTCGCTCAGTCATGTCCGACTCTTGGCAACCCCATAGAGGTGTAGCCTGCCAGGCTCCTCTGTCCGTGGAATTCTCCATTGGAGACTTCTAGTGTTCGACCCAGAGATCAAACACGGGTCTCCTGCGTTGCAGGCAGATTCTTTACTGTCTAAGGCACCAGGGAAGTCAGGTCATTGAGGAGACCGTATTTTGTTAAATGTTCTTTCCTTGTGTTTGACAAAATAAATGTTGTGTCTTATCCTAGATACACTGTCAGTGGTAGTACTGCCTTACTGTCCCCACCAATCTGCTGCTTCCCAGATCCCTCTCTTGATAACTGGCATCTCCATCTCATCAGCCAAGCCAGGCCCGTGCTGTCTGCAGGCCACGCTGGGGAGTCTCCTGTCTTTCATCAGAAACCTCACATCCAACCAGAGTTCTGGGGAAACCACCAAACCAGCATCTTTTCTGCCCTTACGGCACTGATGTAGTTCAGCATCCTCCTGTGTTATCTGTCTCTAACCTTGTTCCCTTCCAGCTGATCTCTTACTTCATGTCCAGAAGATCTAAGTGATCACTCTGACCATACTGCTCCCTGTATAACCCCTCCAGTGGCTTCTGCTGCCCTGGCCCCCAGGAGGGGAGGCACAGGCCTTCAGGACCAAGACTGAGTCTGCCTCGTCTTTCGCCCCTCCCCACTCTAGAACTTGGCCGTCCACTGCAGGAACCGATCCCAGAGCTGGCAGAGCAACTCTAGGTCTATTAAAGAAGTGGTGATGGGCATAGCTACCCTAACCCCTGTCTCCTGATCATTACAACCTTGCTGGTCCCAAATCTTAGAAAATCTTCTCCACCTGTCCACCACTTCCTGCAAGTGCTGAGCCTTTATAATTGCTTGTCTGCTCGAGGCTCCTCTCAGTACTCCTTTGCTGACCTAGACTCATTTCTACCTAGCCCACAGAATGCAGCTGTGATGCTGTCTGCTTCAGGACAGCTCCTGCAACACTGTGTTTCTCTGCACCTTGATCTGGATGAGTTTTTCTTGGTTCATTCCTTGAAGTAATCTGTGTCAATATCTAGCATAAAGCTTAGCTGTTTATTTCTCCATCTGCTCACCAAACTAGTAGCTCATTAAGGGGAGAGGCTGCCTTTTGTGTCTGTATCCTGAGTGCTTAAACACAGTACCTGGGTATAGTACATACTTAAGAATAATTAATGACTGATTCAATAAATATTTTGATAAGTGAGCAGGGTTAGATGGCTATAAAATAATCTAAGATAAGGTACTTTAGAGAAGAACTCGTGATAGTAAAACAATTTTTAATGTTCTCGAGAAGATCCATGGTAAAGAAGGTGGGTTGAACTATTAATAATTAAATATCCAAGATTATCTCAGCTCTTAAATTCTATAATTGTGTTTTTTATTCCATTTATTTTTATTAGTTGGAGGCTAATTACTTTACAGTATTTAGTGGTTTTTGCCAAACATTGACATAAATCAGCCATGGATTTACATGGGTTCCCCATCCCGATCCCCCTCCTGCCTCCCTCCCCATCCCATCCCTCTGGGTCTTCCCAGTGTACCAGCCCTGAGCACTTGTCTCATGCATCCAACCTGGGCTGGTGTATAATTGTGTTTTCTATGTGATTTCCAGATACCAGGGTACAAGTGTAAATAAAACACTGTTCTTGTGCACTACACATTTTAATCTTTCTTGTGCATTAGACATTTTAACCTTTGTGGATAGTTATTTCAATTTGTGCGTTTTTGTGGTAATAATGGTTATGTATGTGTGCACATGTATATGTATTTTGCATATGTACAGCTATGAGCAGTTTATACATTGTGAATTGTTTATAATCTTTGTCCATGTGTCTACTACCATTTTTTAACCCTTGATGTACTTTGCAAAAGTTTTTTTATATGTTTTCTAGTTTTTTGTATTATAAGCATTTTCTCAGTTTGCTATTTGTCTTTCTAAAGGCGTTTCTCATCCTACAGTTGTACAAATATTTGTCTTTTTACTTTTATGGTTTCACTTTTCCTTAAAAACCCACTAGTCCACTGAGAATTTGCTCTTGTGTGTGGCATGAGATGGGTCTTCCCAGGTGGTGCTGGTTGGTAAAGAACCCGCCTGCCAACACAGGAGATGCAAGAGACTTGGGTTTGATCCCTGGGTTTGGAAGATCCCCTGGAGGAGGAAATGGCAACCCATTCCAGTATTCTTGCATGGAGAATCCCATGGACAGAGAAGCCTAGCAGGCTACAGTGCGGGAGGTCGCAGAGTCGGATGTGACCGAAGTGACTTAGCATGCATGCATGGCATGAGATAGGGATCTGACTTTATTTTTTTTTTTTTTCAGATGTTTAGCCAGTTGTTCTAACAGTTTATTGAAAAGTGTATACATCTTCCAGTGAATCTAGTACATTTATATCTTCCAGTGTGTCTTTCTTTTTTTCCCTTCCAGCTGAATAGCTTTCATTTCTGGGTTTAAAAGTAACAGCTAGTCACTTTATATTTATGGACAAGGGAAATCACACAGTATAGAGAAAAAGCACATTAGACCCTTCAAAGAAGTAGTCATAAGTCAGATGCAAATTTGGGTAGTCAGTATGCTGTTCAACAGATATTCCCAGGTGTCTGCCTTCCAAATACTTGTTATTTCGTGACCATTATGATTGGCTGAGGCCATGTGCCTAGTTCTTACAAATTGTGAGTGAATGGGATATGTGTCAGTTTGGGGCTAGAGCATTTAATTCCCGATGTGAGACTTTCCTAGAACCTTATTTCCTGTTGGCTGATGACTGATGATGTTCAAGAGGGTGGCTGCCCCTTTAGCCTGAATCCGTGAATGACTGCAAGGAGCAATGCCTCCTGTACTGGATGTGCGCTGTGAGCACGAACTATACCTTTCTGACGATAAGCCACTGAGATTTGGAGGTGTAACCTAGCCTATCCTGCATTATACTCATATCCTCTTTCAGTATTTCAGTTTTTTATTTTTTAGACATCAGCTGAACTCAAGCTAGAGGTTTCTCTAAGGAGAAGATATTCTTTCATGAATACTGATTGATACTAGGAAGAAATATAATTTCAGGAAACATCATGAGATAATAACTTCCTATATATATGCATATATATATATATTTTCTTTTTTTTCAGGTAACCTGGAGTTCTCAAAATGTTTGCCAAAGCAACACGGAATTTTCTTAAGGAAGTTGATGCTGGAGGTAATCTGATCGCAGTATCAAACTTGAATGACTCAGATAAATTACAACTTCTAAGTCTGGTGACCAAAAAAAAGAGATACTGGTGCTGGCAGAGACCCAAGTACCAGTTTTTATCTGTCACTCTTGGAGATGTACTCACAGAAGACCAGTTTCTGAGTCCAGGTATGTTTCTTTGGTTATATTTACAATTAGTTCCAGATCAGGAGATGATTCTCCTTTTAGACACATGTTGTATTATTTTTGTTGTTGTTTAGTCACTCAGTCGTGTCTGACTCTTTGTGACTCCATGGACTGTAGCCCACCGGGCTCCTCTGTCCATGGGATTCTCCAGATAAGAATACTGGAGTGGGTTGTCATTTTCTTCTCCAGGGGATCTTCCCCACCCAGGGATCAAACGCATGTCTCCTGCATTGCAGGCAGATTCTTTACCAGTGAGCCACTGGGGAAGCTACATGTTGTCTTGAGTGATTATAAAGACATACCTTATAATCAGTTCTCCTGATTCTTTGCTACTGTTTTAAAGACACATCCGTTCTGTTTTATTTTTCTTTTTTATTTTATTCTATCTTATTTTTGACTGTGCTGGGTCTTTTCTGCAGTGCATGGGCTTCTCACTGCAGTGTCTTCTCTTGTTGCGGAGCATGGGCTCTAGGGTGTACAAGCTTCAGTAGTTGTGGTGTACAGGCTTAATTGCTCTGAGGTGTGTGGAATCTTCTCAGACCAGGAACAAAACACGTGTCTTCTGTTTTGGCAGGCAGATTCCTACCGATTGTTCTTTCTACCAGAGGAGTTCCAGTATGGCAGTTTTTGGTATAAAAGTACAACATGCCCACTTGTAGATGTTGTGGCTCCTCCGTATAAGTGGACTGAGGTTCTACTGCTCCCAGTTTGGTTTAATATTGAGGTTGATGATGCCCCATATCCATCAGGAGAGTGTGAAAGATTTTATTACTTACATAATGAAGCTTTTCTGGGGAGAACATGGTAGATTCCCGAGCTGGTCCAAAAATGACTAGAGAGAAGAGGGAAAAAGATGAGCTTAGTTGTTCTAGTGAATAGGAGATATGGTGGGGGTACTTTATGGGTGGGGCTTGCAAGGTTTCAGTTTCCTGCTGATGCCAATGAAGAGAGTACCTGAAGTTTCTTACCCAGTTGCCCATATGTGTAACAGAAAGGAAGGGAGATAGTGAGCTTGAAACATCAAACATCGAAAATACTCCTCATTATTATAGAGAAGTATTTATAAAATATAGAAAGGCAAGAAAACAAATCAACAAAAATTCCTCCATCAAGTGTTAATTTCCATTCTATCTTTTTTATCTCTGCATCTAATTTTTGAAAAATAACATTGGGAACACACTACATGAAATTTTAATATACTCCTCATTTATTTTTTATTTAGCCTTATATCTTTAGATTTCTTAGTATGGTTTAAATATTTCTTAGTACTGTTTTCAATAAGCAGTGTGTATGTATCCTAATTTGCTTAACCAGTCCAATTTAGTCCTTTGTATATAGGGCTGCAATGAATATTTTTGTTGTTGTTTTTCTTTTAAACAATTGTTTTAGCATAGATTCTTTTTTTATTAACATTTTTGTTTTTCTTGAGATATAGTTGATTTACAGTATTCTTTTAGTTTTTAGGTGTATAACATAATGATTCAAAATTTTTATAAATTGTATTCCATTTGTCATTGTTATAAAATATTGGCTATATTCCCTGTGCTGTATAATATATTGTTGTAGCTTATTTATTTTATACATAGCAGTTTGTACTTCTTAATTCTCTACCCTCATCTTACCCCTCCCTGCTTCTCTCTATGCTCTGGTAACCATTAGTTTGTATCTGTGAATCTGTTTCTTTTTTATTATATTCACTGTTTGTTTTATTTTTTAGATTCCACCTATAAGTGATAATATATAGTGTTTGTCTTTCTCTAATTTATTTCACTTGGCAAAATACCCTCCAACTCCACCCATGTTGTTGCAAATGGCAAAATTTCATTCTTTTTTTATGGTTGAGTTTTATTCCATTGTGTATGTATGTGTGTGTATATATATGTAAATATACGCCACATATTCCTTATATATTCTTCTATTGATGGACACCTATGTTGCTTCCATATCTTGGCAATTGTAAATAATGCTACTGTGAACATTGGGGTAGCACAGATTCTTAAATATACAATTACCGGACCAGAAGTTGGGAGCTTTTCAAAGACTTTTGGTACTCATTCCCCACACAACTTTATGAAATATAGTGACGTATAAAAGTACCATCAGCTCTTAATTACTGGGCTAAATGATGTTCAAGTCTTCTTTTAGCTTTAAAGTTCTTTAATTTTGTAATTGCATTTCTCTTTAAAGGGTAAAAGTGACAGAGGAGGTAATTTGAGTTGACAAATAATCTCTAAACTTCCTTCCAGACCAGCATTCTAGTCAGTGCTTTCTTCAGCCAGGCCCATTATCAGAGCTGTCAAGCAATGGGCAAGTGAACTGATTAATGATTTATGTCATGTTTTCCCCCTGGATATTGGGTAGAACATTTATTGAATGGTATAACAACTAGCTATGAGGAAAGGCAAGAGAAAAAAAAAAATCACAGAGCAGCCCATGAACCACTGAGTGATTGGAATTCACCACTCTGCTGCTTGGCCTCTTCGCGGTATCCAGAGAGCTCCTGTTAGATGGTCAGGCCAGTGGCAGTACCTGAGATGAGCAAGTCCCACGTATGTTCATCAGCTGAGGCCGGAGCTCACCCCTGGGTCTGTGTCCTGTGGGTGTTAGGGCTGTGATGAGAGGTGCCCTCTTCTTTGTCTACTGAGCAGGTTCGAAATGCTTCACCTTTGTCATCCTTGCCGCTGGCAACAACGCAGGAGTGTTGTGTTGTGTTCCGGGATGTGGAGGTTAGAGGATAGTGAGTTGATTGTCCCAGTGACAGCCTGTTGGCTTCCTCACTTTTCCCTTCCACCTGCAGCGGTNGGTCCCCCCTCCCACCTCCCTTCCCAGAATGTTTGTATTCTCAAGATGTAAATAGGAAAAGCCTTTGATTAGGGGGCATTTTCATAAACTTCTTATTTTTGGTGGAGACAATCGTTTACTTTGTAAATTTCACAGATAATGAGTGGTGATTAATTCTCATTAACCCTGGCTGAGTAATGGGTTTTCTTGACTGGAGTGATAGAAGTATAGGTGTTGGGGGTGGTGACTGGGTTTAAAGAAGCCTTTCAGACTCCCAGTAGACTTGAATCCATTATGAAGTATCACCAGGAGTCCAGGAGAGCCTTGGGTCTGGGAAATGAAAAGGGCCAGTGTAGGTTCCTAAGAGACTGTCAGTGTAGCCTTCATTGAATGATGGTGACTGAGACTATTTTCATGGTAGTATTTGGCTCAATTAAAAATGAGAACAGGAGACATATAGAGACATGAGAAGGCTAAGATCCTCAGATATGTGTAACTTGGTGTTCAGATTTTTTAAAAAAAAGGCAGATCCTCAAGGCAGACTGATAGCAGTCACCTGATATGACCTGATGAGGAGCATGGCAATCCCTAGGGGAGCTAATTGAAGCCGGGACACCAGCTGGGTGGTGGCATCTTTCTTTATTGTCTGGGAAGCAGAGAAGGAAGAATGGAGAGTCTGGAGCTTGCATACTGAGGATGGAAGCAGGGAGGAAGGGCATGCTCACTGACTTTATCAGGAACACAGAGATAAGGAACTGCTTGATACGGTATCAGATGACTGGGTAGAGGTCAGATATAAACAGCTAAATAAGGAGGAACTGTTTGAATGGAGATGGTAATGAAAGCCAGGGGAGTATTCTTCAAGGCCACCCGGGGGAAGGGAAAATGCCTAGGGACAAATTCAGGCTGCTGATCTGCCAGATACTGGGTCAGGCAGGCCACGCCCTGGCTGGGTGGGTGAGCAGAGTGCCAGGCTGCTGTTTTCTTTCTGCTTAGGTGTCATCCTCATCCAGTCCCTTCATCCTCAAAGCACATATTTAAAACATCCTATTTATTTACCTGGATAGCAGTTAAACAGATGTTTACTTTAAAATTATTCGTGGAACTCTAAAGATATTTTTGGTGCACATATCTATATGCGTGTATATTGGACTTGAAAGATGAAAAAACAAAAAAGTACACCTGGCCACCAGTACACCTCACTCTCTCAGTCAGCGTCCAGGTTCCTTTGTCCCGACAGCGCGGCCGCCGGCTCTCCGTTCTGAGTGCAGACCTCGTGTTTCCCGCGGGTTTCTGCAGGATTGGAAAGCTAGGTGACCTGAGGCAGAGTTGGCTGCTTTGTCATCCTGCATGTCTTATTCACTGCAGTGGTCGTGGAGTCGGACTTTGTGAAGTACGAGGGCAAGTTTGAAAACCACGTGAGTGGGACCCTGGAGACAGCCCTGGGGAAGGTCAAGCTGAATGTTGGCGGCAAAGGCCTCGTGGAGAGCCAGTCCTCCTTTGGAACCCTGAGGAAGCAGGAGGTGGACTTGCAGCAGCTCATCAGAGATGCCCTGGAGAGGTAATGGGAATTCTGCTCGGCATTTTGACTTTGATGCACCTCTCGTCTAAATTTTTAGAAAGTTATTTATTGACTTTTGACTGTGCTGGATCTTCGTCGCTGTGCGTGGGCTTTTTCCAGTTGCGGTGAGTGGGGGCTACTCTCTAGCTGCAGCATGCTGGGTTCTCGTGGTGGTGGCTTCTCTTGTGGAACAGGAGCTCTAGGTGTATCGGCTCAGTAGTTGTGGAGCATGGGCTCAGTTGCCCTGTGACCTATGGAATCTTCCTGGACCAGAGAGCAAACCCACGCCCCCTGCATTGGCAGGCAGATTCTTAACCACTGGACCACCAGGGAAGTCCCATGTCTCTCATTTATAGGTCATTCCGTGGGGACTTCCCTGGTGGTCCAGTGGTTAAGACTCTAGGCATCCAATGCAGGGGAGGTAGGGGAACTAAGATCCCATATGCTGTGTGGCCAAAAAAAAGGTCATTTGTATCAGCAAACATTACTGAATGCCCATTGCTGAAATGTGATGAGCAGTTCATCTGTTAGTCTGGACTTTCACTGCTCTTAGCCCGAGCAGGGACACTTGGGAAGCACTTTAAAAGGATGTTACTTCAGGCAAATGTGTACTTTTAAAGAATCATATGATTTATAAAATACCAACAGTGAGAATGCTCTGTTCTACAATTTGGAATATTAATATCAGAAGTGGGAAAACCACACTCCTCTCTCTGGCTCTTTATGATTTTCTGATTAGGGAAAGAAGAAAGCAGGTGAGGTACTTCAGGGGAAGAGCTAGTTTTTAACTCTGAAATCTTGAAGACAATTCCACATTGTTTAGATTTCAGTAAATACAATTTACTCCAGTAAAACTGAAACCTGCAACTCAGATTGAGACTTGAACCCGGCCAAAACCCATAATGTTCCAACTGAGATCACACACCTATTTTTAGGACTTAATGAAGCTCAGGTTCTTGATGTCTCATCACAAAGAATTCAGTGAGAGAAAGTGATAGGTAAGAAGTGAATTTGGAGAGAAACACACTCCACAGACAGAGTGTGGGCCATCTCAGGCAAAAGCTGTGTCAAAATATGGTGTGGTCAGCCTTTATGAGCTGAGTAATTTCATAGGCTAATGAGTGGGAGGATTATTCCACCTACTTTGAGGAAGTGGCAGAGATTTCCAAGAGATGGGCCACAGCCCACTTTTTGGTCTTTGGTTGGCCTTGGGACTGTCATGGTGCCTGTGGATGTCATTTTGCCAGCTTGATGTATTTGAATGAGTGTACACTGAGGCCCAAGGTCTAGTGGAAGTCGACTAGTCCACCGTTTTGGACCCACTCGGTTCTAATCAATTTATGTTGTGTCCGCTGGCTGTGTCATTTTTTCAAAGGTTGTGCCCTGCTCTCTTCCCTCCTACTTCGAAACAATTTGTTGTTGTTTAGTCACTAATTTGTGTCTGGCTCTTTGCAACCCCATGGACTGCAGCATGCCAGGCCTACCTGTCCTTCGCTGTCTCCTAGAGTTTGCCCAAGTTCATGTCCATTGAATTGGTGATGCCATCCAACCATCTCATCCTCTGCCACCCTCTTCTCCTTTTGCCCTCAATCTGTCCCAGCATTAGGGTCTTTTCCAGTAAGTCAGCTTTTCGCATCAGGTGGCCAAAGTATTGGAACTTCAGCTTTAGCATCAGTCCTTCCAATGAATATTCAGGGTTGATTTCTTTTAGGATTGACTGGTTTGATCTTGCTGTCCAAGGTACTCTCAAGAGTCTTCTCCAACACCACAATTCAACAGTATCAATTTTTCAGTGCTCAACCTTCTTTATGGTCAAACTTTCACATCTGTTTCAAAATGATAATACATTGTTATTTTTACCTTATGTTTCTTCAACATTCCTCAAATAACTGCTGAATGAATGCCTACTACATACTGTTTTACATGTTGGGGATTCTGAAGTGAACAAAACACCAGTATTTATGCCCTATATGCTTGGGGGAGAGAGAGACAACATGTAACTAAGTGATATATATATAGTATATTGATGGGACTCACCATAATAGGGGTTATGATTTGAAAAAGTGGCCAAAGAAGGCATCTTGGAGAAACTGGCATCAGAGAAAAGACTTGAAGTTGGGGATGGGAGTGAGTGTAAAGGTGTCTTGGGCAAGAAAGTTGTAGGCAGCGGTGGTGTGGCTGGAGCTGAGGAATCTGGGCAGGAGCAGGTGAGGTCAGAGAGGCCCTGTAAGGACCTTGCAGGCCACTGAAAAAACCTTTAACTTTCACTTGGAACTTCTCTTGTGGCTCAACGGTAAAGAATTGCCTGCAGTGTGGGAGACCTGCATTCGGTCCCTGGGTTGGCAAGTCTCATGGAGAAAGGAACAGCTACCCACTCCAGTGTTCTGGCCTAGAGAATTCCATGGAGAGAGGACCTGGCAAGTGACAGTCTATAGGGTTGCAAAGAGTCGGACATGACTGAGCAACTTTCACTTTTCTTTTCCTGAGTGAGGTAGGAAGACACTGGAAGACTTCGAGAAGATAAGTGACAGAATCTAACAGGTTTTAGGAGGATCATTCTGGCAGCTATAGACTGAATGGGCGGAAGCCAGGAGTCCTACTGAGAGGTTATTGCAATAATCCTGATAAGAGATGATATTTCTAATTGAAAGGTTTTTATAGTAATCCTGACGGGAGATGATATATCCATTTGTACAGAAATATATGTGCATTTTCTTGTGTAGTTTATCACCCTTTTTAAAACAGAAAATGCCAACCCAAATATATTGAGAAAACTCACGTATAGGTAGCTTATCTCCTCTTTTCCAGTATTTTTAGGATTATATGAAATATGTTTGCTCATTGAATAAACTACTGTTTAAAAATCAATAAAAATTACCCTAAAACTCATGTAGCAATCATTTGGTGGACAGACTGTACAGATAATGAGGATGCTTGAGCAACTGAGGTCTTCAAAACCCATCCACCTTTCCACTAAGCTCTGATGCTTGATGGAGTTGAAGGGCAGTGGTTGTTATTTGACTTTTGCCTCATGGCACTTCCTAGAACTCCAGGACTCCACTGCATTAGGACTCAGGGGCAGGAATTCCCTTTCTCAAAGAACTGTACATGAGGTGGAAGGGACAGCAGCCTCTTTCTCTGATAGTCATGACTTTAATTATCTTTTCTCTACTGATTTTCTTTTTTGGTAAAGAGGCATTTTCCTTCTCTACTACAAATACCTACTGGGGGCATACTAGAAAAACATTTTCTGTTTATCTGAAAATGAAATTTAACTTGGGGTCTTATATTTTTATTTGCTAAGTCTGGCAAATAAGGGGGAAGAGGGGCAGAAGGGCTGGTGGTCCCTGTCTTTAGTCAGCCCTCTATAGTGTGTGTCTATTTGCAGTCTTGTTATTTCTGTTTGAAGATCCACAGTTTGGCATGCTTATAATCTCATTTCCCAATATAGGTTTCTCGCTCATCGTGATTCAGGTGTAGAAGATTGTGCCAGTAGGAAGCATATGGGGAGAAGTCAGTGAGTAGAGATGGGAGAAAATATTCTCAGAAAAAGAGGCTAAGACCAGAAGTGGGGAGACAGGGAGAGAGGGAGGGGGAGGTATCTGCTGAGCGGCTGCTGTGCGCCGGGCACTTTATGGGCATCATCTCCTTTCCTCTACACAGCTGTCTCATTTTAGGCCTGAGGATCCAAGGCTCAGGGAGAAGTGACTTGTTCTCAGTCCCAGAGCTCAATTTGGGTGCTGCAGCTGGGATGCATCCCAGGATTTTCTGACTCCAAAACTCCTGTTCTTTCCTCTATATCATTCTTGAAGTGATTGTGAAGCAAAGGAGTTGGCTGAGATAAAAGTAGTTAAAATTATCACAGGAGATGTTAAAGGCAGAGGCCTGAACCCAGGTCCCCAGTGAGGGTACCTAGGGGGTGTACAGTGTTCCAGGCACTGTCCTGAGCGAGCACATATGAACAGCCAGTCCACCCACCTGGAGGTGCCCGCACGAAGGCGTGAGATCATCTTGGGAGAGTTTAGACGTTCTATTCTTTGTCCAGGTGATGGGGAAGCAATGGCCTGTGTGGAAGGGAGAAGGGAAGGGGCCACACTGGGAATACATTTAAAGTCTAGAGATGGAAAGTGGAAGAAGAGTCACCTCTTCCTTGCTCTGTTGCTAAGAGGTAAAGTTGAGCTACAAGGGGAGGAAAGATGAGGAGGACTTGACCATAGGATGGAGATCACGTCAGCCTAACATTCTTGTTACTTCTTGTTGGAATAATAAATTCTTATCTACGTAGTTTTCCTGTCTTTGGACTCCCACAGCATCATTATGTTGATAAGACTGGCCGTTTGATATATGCACGGCCTTGGGAGTGGTGATTAGTAATGCTTAAGTACTGTATGTTTTTGAGGGTTCATTTGCAGTCATTTTTATTTCAGGTCATTTAGATAAGTTGTCATCTGTATACAAGTTATTTTAGTCCTCAGAATTCAGAGTATTTGTTTTATTGTCTGTGAGATGTGTGCACATCTCAAAAACAAGCTTCATCTAGCATTAAAAAAAATCCAGGTACATGCACGTATAAGTTATTAGCATTGTTGGGCATAAAGGCTATCCCTAGGACCACAGGACTTACCTTCCAGATGTTGGAATGAGAGCTCTAGTTTATTGTAAAACATTTTTTATGGAAAACAGTCTAAGACCTTTCCATAATGACTCAGCTTCATGTTTTATTCTTAAGACCTAGTATTATTTATTCTGTGACAAACTCATTAGTCTTTCTTCCTTGTCTTCTGTTGTCAGCTGCTATTTATGAATGCTTTAAGTATAATTACCACACCTATTCCATCTCTGCCACTAATCTAGTGTTTGAAGAAGTTTACTCCTGATAAATAACTTCTGCAGATCCTGAAGTCAGGGTCACTTCTGGCCCTGGCCTCAGTTTTCCCAACTGTAGGTGGACTAGCTGGACTAGAGATTCTTTAAGAGTTTTCTGTGGACTAAATGTAGAA